GAACAAATGTGCGCGCCGTGAAGCCACAATTGAAGAGAGCCCCCCTGCGGTGTCCAAGTTGACTTCACAGCGACGGTCCAGCGAAGCCCGGCGGGGGCGAAGCATCGCCCAGCAGAGCTAGCCTCACAAGCACCAGACGAGCCCAGCGTCCAGCAACTCCAGCGCAATCGTCAGCAATCCTGGCAGCAGTGAGGTACTGGGGCGCACCACTCAAGAAACGCGATAGCCACAGCGGCATGACCGAAGGAGGGCTCCGTAACGGGGCCAACCTGGAGGGATCATCTGAAGCATTATCGTGAGTCCCGACATGGATGTGCGCAGGATACAAGTTGCCACCAACCAAGTAGGGTAACGTGGTACTCATGTGGTAGTTGAGGCTTGCGCTGCTGGATCTGCCTTTACTGTTGCAACCTATAACGACGCGACTGTCCAGAAGTGCAACAAACTTGCTCGAAGGCGATGTTTTGGCCAGATGCTTGATGAGGCTCCTGTAAGATAGCTGCTCATTGACATTAATGTGATTGACCTTGCAGAATCTGTACTGAAGCAACTTCTGCCATCTCAAACACTGGCCCAAATCTCCTACCCAGCGAGGGGGTTGATGCGGGGCTCGAGAAGTTGACACATCACGCTCACGCATTGAAAGAATAGCTGGCAACTGAAGCTCGAAAATCTCTCTGCAGAGGGGCAACGGATAGCTGCCTGAGAAGTTGCAAAGAGGCTCTGATACACAGGGCCGCCTGCCGAAGACTTGTTCGCAAGAAGGCCTGCACAACCCTTCAAACACCGGTATGTTTGCTTTGGTGAAGCAGCTCTCCAGTCTCAAGTGTCTTCCCTGAAGAGGGCAATGGCATTTCGCAGCGAGCTCAGAAAACTTGGGATTGTTGGCCAGCCAAGTGGAGCCTTTCTCGAAAGGAGTGCCATAGTTACAGTACGTAAAAGACACAGTAGAGTACCCACGACAACGTAACCTAGCGAAGATGTCCAAGCGGAACATGACAGAGCCGGAAGGTTGTTCACATGAGCCAAGGACTCCGTAGCTGGCGCAAAGGTGTAAAATGAAACCAGTGCGCATCGCCAGCAAATTTCCTTCGCAAGTGGCTGCATCAGAAGAGCAAGACCCCCACGGAATGAGTCTGCTGCGCACTCTAGGGCGCCTCATCGTGCCGAAAGTGGTGCAAGGAGGACCAAGATGCACATACGCAACGACTCTTCTAGCAATCAGTCCAATAATCTGCCACATGCAGGAGTCACTAGCGACATCACCGGAAGGCCCGTCTTGAATGTCAAAGCCCGGATGGACCCGCAGTCCAATAGCCTGAGCAGTGGCAGTTAAGTTGCCCTCACCCCTGAAGACCTCAAGGAAATCGAAAATGACTCCCTCGGTGAGCTGCGGGGGCAAACCGGACTCCAACTCAGGAGCTTCTTCAAACTGCTCGAGGCGGTCAGCGTACTCAGCAGAATGCCCTTGGAGAACGGTATGATAACCCCTATGGTCTGAATGCCGAAAGAGGATGTAGCTGGAGGCCTCACTGATATTGCATTGGCACACTCCTGCAGCAAAGCTGGAGGCGTCTGTGCAGAAGATCCTGCCTAGCGGTGAGGCTCTCAAATCGGTATGAATGCAGGGGCTGCACAGAACCAACAGGAGGAGCTCTTGGCGAGCGCCGTGCGATAAGCAGAAAATCTCCCCGGGCTCCCTGCCTTTGATCTCGTGACAAAGCTGGTTCAGCAAACACAGGAAAGGCCGGCGGAACATGCAGACGAACACCCAACATCCCACAATGCACTGTAGTAACTCTTTAGTGCAGAATCCCAACACGATAAGCTGCAGAGAGAGACCGGCGAGAGCGACGATGCGAACTCTGGGCGCGGAAATGTCCCCACGAATGCCGTCCAACTCGCCACCAAGAATGGTGGTGCTGAAAGTGTTCCTGATTGCCTTCTTGGGAGAAGTACGCAATCCCACCTTGGCATACATGGAGGCCGCCTGCGATAGCAAAACAGCATCTCTGCGGCTCGGGGCCGGGGGCCTGTTGACTTCAGACATCCTGATCATAAGTAAGTAAATGTGGTCATCGATACAAAGGAGATCGAAGCCCGGCCCTGCTGGCAACATGCGCTTGTACGCTACTCGCTCGCCTTCTCTAAGGCATCCAGATCTGTAGAGGAGCACAGAATGGGCGTGTTGTGCAACTTCTACTGCAAAACTGGTACCCATTGCTAACGTCTTGAAACATCCTACAACCTTCTTGCCCCTCAGGTCCTCCCTGAAAGCGTTCCATCCCACAAACTCCTCTGCCTCGTACACACCATGAATATGGTTTCGAGCTGCATGCAAATCGCTGACAGTAAACCCATGATAGAAGTCACTGATATCGTCAGCGTTGATGACGACAGCACGATCTTCGGGAATATATAACTGGCATAGCAGTGAGGAGTGAGCCAAAGAGAGCGTAGCGTCTGAGACCGAAAAAGAGCGGCTGTTCTCCGGAATTGGGTTCAGTATCTGACGGTCAGTCTCCGAGTTCTTGAACACAGAAAATAATCCACAGCGATACCGATGCTCAGAACAATCAGCAGGTAGAAGATACAAGCTGTGCACGTTGTCCCACTTCCGGAAAAGTTCGCGCTGCTTCTGAGGGGTAGACTGCACTCGCGCTAAGCGTGGCTTTACCCAATCAGTGGATGGTCTGCGGAATACGCTGGGGTTCTTGAAGCCGGCTCTTAACAAGGGGTCTGTGAGGAACTTCTCGGCATTGAACTGCGGGGCTACATCGAACTTAAGGCGCGAGGGCTCTATCTGCTTGCTGCCATTGATCGGGTTCGCCTTGCCAAAACTAGCGCACTGCTCACGGATGGGATAGCGCTCAGAATCAGCCGGCTCTGCTGGCAGGCGACCTCGAGAAGGGCTGCTGTAAGGCTGAAGCTCTGAATAAAGGGAGCGGCTCAAATCGTGTATGTGAGACAAAGCGCTGCTGATAGAATCGAATTTCTGTACTGTACGATCAAGTCCGCGTTTGGGTCCATGACCCAAGCGGATCCAAATTGAGGCCATGCGCTCCAACCTGACAAGCATTGCAGCTTGGGTGGAGCTAGGAGGCGGCAAGTCAGCGGGAGGCTTCAAAGGTCTGTTCAACACCAACCAGTTGTACGCTGCAACGATGTGGCGACACACTAGCCGGGATGTACACCTTTGACGCCATCGCGCCTCGCGCCGGCCGCCAAGGCGAGTCCTAGGGAGTGCCAGAGGCGGGGGGAGAGAGCAGGGCCACAAATCGGAAGAGCTCTGCGAGGCAGAACTCGAAAACTCGTGTGCAATGCTTGCTTGAATGAATTGAGACAATCTGGTACGGCACCTGGGCAAAAACCTCGCAGTCACTGTACTTAACCGGGAAGCACTCAACGTACCGTCCAGATCTGAAGGAAAAAGCTGAGGCAAGAACCAGGGCGTCTTCATGCCGTGGTCTCGCCCGTCTGGTCTGTCCTCTTTCCTTTGCGGCCCTTGCCGCGCCCCGGGCCTTGGGTGCCGTCGTCCTGGCCTTGCTGACCGCCTTGAGGGGCGAGATTCAAATGTACTTTCGCGGTCCGCTCCGAAATCAGGTCGGCATCTCTTAGGTACGCCAGCTGAGCTGTGACCCATCTCGGGTCTGCCAGCATCCCATGGGGTAGCTCGGGTCTTGGAGCTCGCCTCTGCTCTACTATGGAGAACGGAGGGTCCGGCCTCCCGGTCAGCAGCCACCCCAATCTTGTATGGCCCTGTTCGTTGGCGACCTGTTCGGCGAATACCAAGCCAAGGGCCAGGAGGGACATCAGTTCCGCACCTTGGTTCCGCTCCGCAGCTTCCCACATCTCCGCCATCAGGAAGCTGAAATAAGTCAGGGTCTTGAATGTGCCCAGAGGAACGGTCTCTTGAAAGTGAAGATACATGTCCCTCGGCTCCAATTCGGCAACCGAGCCCTTCCGGCGAGCTAGGGCTAGCCGCTCGCGAACTTTCGCAACGACCCGCTCCGGATGAGCAGCAAATTGCTCTCGCAGCAGTTGCCTCGCGGCCATCCCGCGGACACCTGGCATCTTGGCCTCGTCGTCGCCTCCCCCTCCCCCTCCCAACAGACTCTGCAAAGGGTCGGAGGATTTCTTGCTTGATGAGGCCAACTGGTTCAGAATCTGGGTCTGCTGTACCAGGATGCGGGCCAAAGTGTTGGCCTCCTCGTTGTCCGCGCCGGCCCCGGGGACGTCTTCGTCCACCTCGGCGTCCTCGGGAACTCCCCCCAACAAAGTCATCGGAGCAGCTTTGGCAGAAGCGCCCAGGAGGCTTGCGCCCGCCTTCGGCTGAATGGCTGAGCTCGCTGAGCCGACGTCGCCAATGTCAGGAGCTGCCGAACCTGATCCGGATCCAGCTTGGCCTGAGCTCCTTCGCCGAACAGCTGAGGAGCCCAAGCAGGGGCTCCCTCCACAGCGGCTGATGAAAGTCGGGCGGGAGTCCTTGCACTCGTCTCCGGAACTTCCAGCTGAGCAAGCCTGGATTCCAGGCTGTCGACTTTGACCAGCTTTTCCTGCATCTTCTCGAGCAGGCCGGCTTGCGAGGTGCTCTGCATAAGCAGCTGCTGCAGGAGGTCCTGGGTCGCACGACCCTGCGCGGCGCCAGCGGCTTCCACCTCCGCCTCCCCCCCTGCGGTGGATGCAATATCGAAAGTTGCTGGTAGAGGAAGAGGTGGTTCGAGATACTCCTCGCCGGTGAAGTAGGCATCCAGACGCTCGTCCAGCTCGTCGCCGTTCAAGAAGGCCTCGAGGGCCGCCAAGAGATTGAGGCGGGAAGGCCACACCGACTGCAAGCGGACCACACCGAAGGTCAGAATGTCCCCAGAACTTCCCGTTGAGGGGGCATCCATTGCGAGGTAGCTGAAAGCCGAGGCCGCAAAGTCGATCAGGAGACATGGCAACACCTTCTTGAGCTCGCGCCCGTGCACGCTGGTGGCATTGACATTGCTTAAAGTCCATGGGCCTAGCTCGCCAGCGTAGCCTTCCACCGTGGCCAGCTCCAGCTCTTCCTCGCTGATTGCTCCAGGGGGCAAACAGAGGATAAACCCGCTGGGCACTGCTCGAACCACCACCGCGTGGCTGCATTTGCCATCCCGGGAGAACCATAGCTTGGAATAGCCGAGGGGGTTGTCCGCGGTCTGCACGGAGCCGAGGTACTCGGGTCTTTCCAAAGACGCCATCAATCTTGTCTGCGAGGCAGGCCCCCAAGGCCTGCACCGACGCAGAAAGCTTGCGCTTCTGCCTGAGAGGCGAAGCCGTGTGAAATGGAATCGGGATCCCAGCTGCCTCCGGGGCCAGTGTGAACCGCCCTGAAGTACGCAGCCCTTGAGAAAGTGATAAAAGGTTCGGGTGTCTCCTCACACAGGAGCACCACGTAACACACTCTCCCCCGTTTTGGGAATCCGAACGAAATCCCGCTTGCTCACCACGGGCGATTGATGCGGCCTCACGACCACGAAGATAGGCGGCCCGAATCCTGTCCTCTCCAGATCCACGAAGGCTCGAAGCCAAGCGTAGTACTGAGGCTGGGCAGGTAGGCGAAGTAGAACGATGGGCCCAGGTCAGGCCAGACACCTGGGTGCTCTCGTGGGACGGGGTGCGGTTGAATTGCGCACCACCGGATCCTGACACGGGTGGTACCGAGTATGTACTGGCTGTGGCAACCGGTGCACTCGGAGAGGCTCGAGGTTCGTTGACGATGGTGATGTTGATAGTAAGGTTCCTCAGCTGAGCAGAGAGACCTTCCAAGTCCAAAGAGTCACGCCTGGTGCTCATGCACTGGGCGATACCTAGCAGACGGTGCCCTCCGAAATTGCCCGGAGCTGCAGGATGTAGCTCTCGTACGAGAGAGCTAATGCACCCCCAAAGGATGTTGCGAGCAGCTCGCGAGAGGATGAGGCCTGTTACACAAATTCCTGTAACAAGGCCGCACAACCAGCAGAGCAGACAGGCAAGGATTAGATCCGAACCACTATGGCTCGCACACCCTAGCCAGCCTAGCAGCACAGGCCACAGGCCTACTCGGTCCCACATGAACCCAGAAAAGCTGCGCGGGCACCGTTCATGTGAATCCATGCAAGTCAGCAACAGTCACATCATGTCTAATCAGTAACACTAACAATTACAAGAGCAGTCTATAGTCAAACGGTTTTGACTGACGACTGCAACTACTACGACCAATACGCAGACTTGTTAGTCAGATTGCCACAATCTTTCCAAACCGTATTCTGATCCCCGTAACTGCTTCTCCCTTTTTCTCATCATCATCTCCAGCTTCATCAGCAACACTAACATCGCAATCGTCCCCAGCATCATCGTCGTCATCGTCACCAATGTGAAATGGTGATGACCAGCATATATATATCAGCATCGTCATCATCACTGTCGTCATCACCATCGTCATTGCCTCATTGTCATCACAACATCGGCACAGCGTCTGTCATTTTCATCACCAGGATCATCACTGCAATTACGAACACCACCACCAACACCACAAGCATGATTGTCATAATCATCGTCATCGTAAACATGATCATTTCAATCATCGTCGTCATCATCAACATGCGTTTCTTCAGCGAAGTGTTTCGTTCTCTCACCACTGTTTCATGCTCTACAGGTTCTTTTTCAGGAACCTGCTTAGCCCCTTCAGCAGATGCAAGCAAGCTGGACTTAAGACTACATTGTGTAAACCCTAAACCCTAAAATATTCCCGAAGCTTTGAAAGGTTTGGGTCGATTTTCACCTCAATTGTGACCAACGACATCTCCGACGTACGGCGTGTCCGTCGGTTGCAGCGCGAGGCCGAGTACCAGGTGCGGCCTTTAGGGTTTAGGAGAGGGCTGGCTGTCGCTGTAGAGCACTGCTGCTGCTGCTGCTGCTGGTACTGTGACTATTGCGGCTATCAGGGCTGCCACTACCCCGGTCTTGATTCTTGGACGTTTACTTTCGCTGTTATTTCTGCAAAAACTACAGAACGCTGCCTGCTTCTGATGGAAATAGTTCAGGGTTGGGTTTTCGACGACAAGGTGCCGTCAACTTCTCAGATGGTTTCAATTCGGTGAGCTTCTGTTTCCGTCTGAATCACATACTGAATAGACTATGTACTATACATTGCATATGGCAGCAGGCGATGCGAGGGGTGCGCCACGCCCGCTGCCACCACCACCGCTGCGCCCCTGTTACTGAACCAGCAGCAGCTGCGGCACCAGCACCAAAAAACCACCCGTGACTACCAACCACTACCCTAAGCCGTATAATCAGCTACCTGCATCTCCATGTCAACACCACCGCCGCCACCGCCATCACCACCACCACCACCACCACCACCACCACCACCACCACCGCCACCGCCACCGCCACCGCCACCGCCACCGCCACCGCCACCGCCACCGCCACCACCACCACCACGAGCACTGTTATTTTCATCTACATTTTATCTTCATGTTGATGCTCATGTTCGTCTTCATCTTCACCACCGTCATCAACGTCGTCACCGTCATCATCGTCATTATTATCATCATCATCGTCGTCATGATCGTCATCGTCTTCGCTGTCATCCTCATCACAAGCTGGTGGCACCAGGCTGACGCCGGGTTGTCGCTTGTGCTCTTAATGCTGTTGCCGCTGCTGCTACTACTACTGCCTTTGTTCGTTTTGCTGCAATGTAGTATTCGGAGGTAGTGTTTGCCGTTGCTGTGGCTGCTGATGACGATGATGATGATCATGAGGTGATCATGATGACGACGATGATGATGAGGATGGTGAGGATGGTGAGAATGACGATGATGATGATGATGATGATGGGAGGCTGATGATGTTGATAATGTTGATGATAACTAGGAGTTCGGTTGCAGACATAGTCTAGAACGGACTGCAGCAAAGTCCTTCAAACTGTGGCCGCTGTCAGGCAGAATGTTCTAGGCAGCCGATGTGCATCCCTTTCGAGCGCAGGTGTTTGATTTCATAGCGGCCTTCCCGGTGCCGTGGGAGCTCGAGTTGCAACTGTGCCTCGGACCAGGTTCAGTGGCTGTGAGAATGCGTTGCTTGGGAAACATGTGGGTAGTTGTCAAACTTATGATCCCTTTTCGGGTACCCTAAATATTAGGTGCCGTACTATATTAGGGACCCAAAAAGGGACCATACCACCCATGTTGAGCTTTCATCAGATTCTGCTCCCAAGCCGTTTCATCCCACGCCCCCCCGAACCCGAGACCAGCACGCCTTCTATGATTCGACTCTCTAAAACCTGTCTAAACCCTTAAAGGTCCAGAGCCTAAGGTACTAGACTCCAGTCCACATGGGAGTTTCCGAAAACTAGGGGTACCTTATTTTGGTGTCCTTATAATAACGATCCTCCTACTTAGGGTACCATATTAGGTTCCCCTACTTTCGGAAACTCCCAAAGTCTCACGCGAGGAAGGAGTATCTGAAGCGGAACCGCTCCACGATCCAGTTGCCTCGAAAACAGGACCTGGGGCGTTCCTTTGAGGTTTTCTTTGAGGCCTCTCTAAAGCTTCTAATATGAGGGGTTTAGAGTTTAGAGTCTGTTCAGGGTTTGAGGTTACAGTGCTTTGTGTTTGGGTTTTAGGGAAATTGGCTGCAGGTTAGCCAGATCCCAAATGCAGTCAGGCTGCCGCTGTGTAAGAGCCCCACCTTCACACTTCTGGGTTGCTAGGTCTTACCGAGACCTTCCCAAAGCCCTTAACCAAGGAATCTACCTCAACTCTTCTTAGGGATCCTATGAAAACTTAAGGTATATTCCTGTTTTAAGGGATTGTGGAAGGTTTGGGTTTTGGGTTTAGGGTTTAGGGTTTAAGGTATGTTCCTTTGTATATTCCTTTTTTTAAGGGATTGTGGAAGGTTTGGCTACGCCAAACCCAAAGCCCTGAAGCGGGTCGTGCTCGGGTAACCCTTGCTCTTGTTGACTCAGATCTTAGAGATTTAGACCCAGCGACTCCCTCAATTAAGGAATGCCTAGGGTTCCTTTAAGGGATCTAGAAGGGATCTATAGGGTTTAGGGTTTAGGGGGCTCCAACAACCCCTAATTCGGGAACATACCTTACATCATAGTTTAGGGGTCTTACTAAAATTTAAGGTATATTCCTTAATGAAGGGATATTGGAGTCTCTGGGGAAGCAACTGCTCTAACTTCATTGTCCACCACCGTGCCAGTGACGGCGTAAACGGCTCATGTTTTGGAACTTAGTTTTTTTTGTTGCCCAAATGAGCCTAGTCTAAAATACTGGGGGTTTCGATGTTAGTATTGTGGCTTAGAATAAGTTGCTTAACAAGAGCCCAGTGAATACCCAGCCTCGTCTCCTGCATCGTGCCCTGCTACCCAGAGACTCCAATATCCCTTAATTAGGGAATATACCTTAAATTATTGTAGGATCCTGAATATCCGAATATCCCTTAACTAGGGAATATACCTTAAATTATAGTAGGATCCTGAATATGATTTAAGGTTTATTCCTTAAATGAGGGATATCGGAGTCCCCTAAACCCTAAACCCTATAGATCCCTTCTAGATCCCTTAAGGAACCCCAGGTATATTCCCTAATTAAGGAATATTGGAGCCTCCTAGGAGTTGAAACCTGCGCTCCCAAACTCGAGTTCGCTCAAACCCAGAGACTCCAATATTCCTCAAGTAGGGAATATACCTTAAATCATATTATGGATCCTGCTATATTTTAAGGTATATTCCTTAATTAAGGGATTTTGGAGTCTCTGGGAAGCTCCCAAGCTCCAACTAACCAAAACCCTACACTTAACAAAAGAAGCCCCAAACGCTACACCCTCTGAGGGTTTAGGGTTTAGGGTTTAGGATGTAGGGTTTAGGGTTTACAGTAGGGTTTAGGATTTAGGGTTTAGGGTTTACAGTAGGGTTTAGGATTTAGAGTTTTAGGGTTTTAATTAGGGTTTTAGGGTTTAGGGTTGAGGACATGGCGTCGTTGCTCCCGGAGTACCTTTTCAACGAGCTCTGTCGCGAGGCGCTTCCTGGCTCAATGCCGCGGTCGGGGCCGAAAATCCGGGGCCTCGGGGTTTTTGGGGGTTTGGGGTTTGATATTGGGGGCCTTATGGTTTTGGTGGTTTTACCACAAGCCCTCCCCTCCAGCTGTAAAATTCATGAAGGAATTAATGTGCTGGGTGGTAGTCTACTCATTGCAATTGCAGTCTCCTTTTGAATCAGCTGTGATCTTTCCACTAAGCTCTTCTTGCAATTCTTGCACTAGCTTCACACTTATCAGCTTCATACTTGAAGCCTTCACGCAGCAAAACCCGAAGCTCGGTTGGCCCTGAAGTCCGTATAGCTCGAAACCCCAGCCCTGAACCGAGGATGGCGCCTATCATCGCAAACCACTGCTTTCTCCAGAGTTTGGGCATGCGCTTCGCAGCCTTCCAGCATGCCACTCGTGGCATGAAGACGAACTGTCGCGACAGTAAGAATGATAAGAACAAAAAGGTGACAACGATCATGGTATTGGTGTTGTATTGCTTGCGACAACAAGTGTACTTCGGATACGCTATCGACACCAACAGGAGTCTTATAACGATCATTACGGTCACAGCAATGCCAGCAAGCAGAACCGGCAGACTCAGCAAGCCAACAGATATCAGCAAAAGCCACGTCGCCGTTTTGGCGTGTTTTCCGAAGAGCAGATTCGGGGGCGGACCTATTGTAACTTGCAACAAGTTGAGTACCCTCTAAAGGCCCTAAACCCTAAACCCTAAACCCTACAACCCTAAACCCTAAACCCTACAACCCTAAACCCTACACCCCTAAACCCTACAACCCTAAACCCTAAACCCTAAGACGGAAGTCTCAGCCTCAGACCGAAGCACCAAAGCCGCTGCCCAGAGACTCCAATATCCCTTACTTAAGGAATGTACCTTAAATCATATAAGGGATCCTACCATAATTTAAGGAATATTCCTTAATTTAGGGATATTGGAGTCTCTGGGTGTCCCCACCCCGCACCCCCTTGCGCCGCCTTGTGTCCTCCTCCCTAGACACCCACGCCCGCCAAGCGAAAAGCACACGTTCCAGCCACAGACACGTCAGCAACTGGGGGCCTTAATAATCCGATTAGGGCTTTAGGGCCCATTATAATCATTATACTATAACTATAATAAGGAATCCCCCAAAAGTAGTATTAGTACCGATTAAAGCAGAGCGCTTGTCTTCTCTGAAACCCTAAACCCTAAACCCTAAACCCTAAACCCTAAACCCTACCTAAACCCTGAAAACTCTCTGAGGACTTGTGCTTGAAGGGATTTACCGATTGGAACGTGTCCAACCAGGACGGGGGAGCCCTTCGAGGGCTCTTTGGACCAGAGAAGCGTGCAGGGTTTAGGGTTTAGGGGTTTAGGGGTTTAGGGGTTTAGGGTTTAGGGTTTAGGGTTTAGGGTTTAGGGGTTTAGGGTTTAGGGTTTAGGGTTTAGGGGTTTAGGGGTTTAGGGTTTAGGGTTTTTCGAATTTTGCAGGAGATACTCTTTTCACCGGGGCCCAAGTGTGAGAACATGCTCTTCGTGGCTTATGGGACCGTGGGCTACATGTGCAAGGCGCGGAGTGATGGGCGGCGGATTTCCAAGACCCTCAACTCAATGCCTGGGTAGTCCTCCTATGCCCTAAATCCAAGCCCTAACAAAACCCTAAGCCTTAAACGCTGAACCCTGCACCCTAAACCAACAAGAACCCTAACCTAACCCTAAACAATAACCCCTAAACCCTTAAACCCCTAAACCCTTAAACCGCTAAACCCTAAACCCAAAAGCAAAAAGAACCCTAAACCCTAAACAATAACCCCTAAACCCTGTCAGGCAGGCATCAGCTCTGGGGTCTTTGCCGTTCAGCCCGTTGCCAGCACGGTTTCCCGGTCACCTGGCTGCGTGTGCATGCTCTATATATATATATATATACACATACATGTACGCATGTAGAGCTCATGCAAGTAAGTATGTGCATAAGGAAGCAAAAAGGTACAGAAGCAAGGACATTAAGAAACAGCAACAGATAAATAGATGCACAAACAAACAAGCAACAAACAAGTAATGAACTACACAAACTAGCAAAAACTACAAGGCAACTGCACCAGTAAATGAATGACTGACTGAATAAAAAGGAAATTTAACAACCAAGAAAACGAAAAAAACAAAGATACCAAACAGATAAGTCAAAAAGTAGTATCTACATAAATAAATGGAGCACACTAGCCTAAAGATGCATGTATGCATTTATGTATGTATGTATGTATGTGTGTGTATGTATGTACGTATGTGAGTGTAGGTACTGGGTTGAGGAGTTCACATGCTGGCCGGCACAAGGGCACACAGGAGCCAGGGCTGTTGTGTTTTTGTGCGTGTCTGTTCTTGGTTTGTGTGTTTGTTCCATTGCAGTAGACACAAGGGAACGAGCCTTCAGAGATTCAGACCTAAACCCTAAACCCTAAACCCCTAAACCCTAAACCCTAAACTCAAGGCCTAGGCCGCCCACCTCCGTGGGTGGGCGGCGCTTAAGCCCCTCGAGCTCGATGGCGCAGAGCGTTCCAACACGCTTGCCCGCCTTTCCACAGCCATGAGAACAGTAGCACCCACGTCAGGCCCGATACCGGAACACGTTCTCCTGGGGACCATTTCTGGTCCTTTTTGTCATTGCCCTCCACCCCGAGGTCGAAATTTTGGGGTCCCCACCCCTGGTCCAGAGCACCGCCCAAAAGGGACCCCCCAGAAAGGGCCTGGGGCCGCCAGAGGGCGGAGTTCAAGGACCTAGAGGCCTCCAGACCGGTTTCCAGAAGGCCTGGCGCCATTTCTGAACCCCCTGACCTGCCTGGCTCCCCCCGGCCCCCCTGGGCCTCCCCCCTGGCACCAGGCTCCTGCCTGCTGCCTGTCCTGCTGCCCCTCTGTTGCCTGCCCTGTCCCGCCCTGCTGCCCTGCCCTGCCCTGCCCCTGCCCCTTTTCGGCAAAACTGGTGCTGGTTTTGCCTTTCTAAATTCTGTTCATAAAATGTGCATTTTAGTGGGGCCAAGTGCCAAAGTCGAGGTCTCCTCCTTTCCTTTTGGTCGGCTGCTTTAATGAAGAATTTAAAGATAACCATAGAGTGAGTTTAGGGGCTAAACCCTAAAAAGGAGTATGTTTGGGTGGCTTGGCCGCCTTAGACGGCGTGGGGTGGGAGAGTTAAAAGAATGAGCCATCCATAATCAGGCTCCAACTGCCAATCGTCAAAAGACGACACACTCGAAATTACACTGCCGCGCGATACTTCCGCATATGCGCCACTCTACGGCAAACCCTAAACCCTAAACCCTAAACCCTACCGGGACCAACAGACATGTAATTTCTTGTGCACACAGGCACTCGAGTCCGGTCTGTCTTTCACCTTTGCGGGGCAACTCCAGTTTAGGGCAGGCCCCGCTTCTGAAAGTGCCGACAAATCTTGCGAAGTTTCTAAGCATGCTTTTTTCTCAAAGCTTTAAGCCCCAGCTTACACCGTACAAAGCTATAAACCATTTGAACGCATACGCAATCTCTCTGTAAGCTCAACGCCCTGAACTTCAGAGTCTTTAGCCGTCGCTCTGCATCTTTGGATCCTTTAAACCCTAAACCCTAAACCCCTAAGGGTCCCTACTTGGAGGGTCGGGGGACTTAGTAACTGGTTACTTTAGGGACTTATAGGTACCATAACCTCAATTAGGGTCCCTTTTAGGGTACTCGTCTACTTGCTACCTACTTACTAAGTCCCCCGACCCTGCAAGTAGGATCCCTTACTTTCTCTTCTCAGATGTTTCTGCTCAGGAAGACCCGGGCATGCTCCGCGGCTGCAAGACGAGTGAGGCTTTAGGGTTTAGAGTTTGGGGTTCAGAGTTTGGGGTTCAGAGTTTGGGGTTCAGAGTCTAGGGTTTAGGGTTCAGGATTTAGGGTTCAGAGTTTAGGGTTTAGAGTTCAGGGTTTAGGGTTCAGAGTTCAGGGTTTGGAGTTCAGGGTTTAGGCTTCGGGGCGTCCATCGCGCTCAACCTAGGCCAGAGACACGTAATCAGGATTCTCGCAACCCAACCCTGAACCCAAACCCCCCTGAAAATGATCGGGCACGTGGTCGGAGGTTGGGGTTTAATGTAAGGTGTTACAGTAGAGTTTGGGATTTAGGGCTTGGGTGTAGTGTAGTGCAAATCCCTCCAAGTCCAAGATTGTCCGTGGATCGACATCTGTGCGTCTTGTGCATTTAGACTGGCGTCCGAGCCTCCGGTGCTGTGAGATGTAAGGCCCTCAGCCATAAAGCCAACACCATATACCCTGAGCCCTAAACCAACAACCCACTGCTCCCATTGTTACTCTGACTACTACTACTACTGCTACTACTACTACTACTACTACTACTACTACTACTACTTCTACTTCTACTTCTAGTTCTACTTCTACTTCTACTTCTACTTCTACTTCTACTTCTACTTCTACTTCTACTACTTCTACTCCTGCTGCTGCTACTACTACTACTACTACTACTACTACTACTACTACTGCTCCTGCTCCTGCTGCTACTGCTCTAAGGCACCACCACGCTCTACCGTGGCGACTCTCTCTGCGAAGCATGACGCTGGGCAGCATTCGTAGCTTCGGTCCTTTCAACAGGCTTTGAGATGGCCCACGAAGCCACAAAGTGGGTAGGTCGTGGGTGCAGGTTTTAAAGCAGAGGGCGGGGGGTTTGGGGTTTCGGGTTAGGGTTCAGGGGTTTAGGGTTGACCCTAAACCCTAAACCCTAAACCGTTTAGGGTTCCCGGCCTTGGCACCATTGCTGACCGCGCAGGCATCTGGACGGCCTGGCACTACCTTGGTACAGCCGCTGCGTCTGAAATGGATGTTTCATGGTTTCAGGGTTCAGGGTTGAGCATCCAGAACTCGAGCCAGAACCCTCAAAAGAACAGCACCCTCAACAATGGCCCTACATCGTGGTTTTGTCGTATTGTTTCCCGGAACTGGTGGTTGATGCATGAGCAATGCACGTGCTGAGTCCGCAGAACCCGCTTTTGCCTTTGTCGTCTGTATCGCAAAGTTTCGAAACATCATGCAGAAGTATATACATACATGTGTATATATACGCATGTATATATATATATGTATGTATACATACATATATATATATATATATATATAGAATTATGAGAAGCAGTACAATGATGCATAATTCTTCATGTTCTTTAATTTTGCAGCATTGTATACAGATATCTCATCCCAGTCGCCGGGGTTGCCAGTTGTGCCCCGAAACCCGACAACTGAATCACTGAGGCGACTGCGGACTCTCAGTCGGCTTTGTTGTGCTTGAGCTTGGAGAGCTTGAAGTCCATTGTGAAGCCTAGCCGAATTTCGGGGTCAGATTGGGGGTAGGGTTTAGGGGTTGAGGGCTTAGGGTTTAGGGATTCGGGATTTCTGGCTCAGATGGGGGTTGGCTTGGACCGTTGCCACATGATGGATTAGGCCCCCTTTCGAGAAACAGCGCCCAACGACGCTAGCAACATAGATACGGTTTAGGGTATAGGGTTTAGGGTCCACTACTACCACCGCTTGCAAACACTTGATGCAGCCCAGGTTTCGGTTGGGACTGAGGAGGGTTGCTGCACAGTTTTTGGTACGGTATGCGCATAGAGCCAAAACACATTGCCGAGTGTGTTTTTTTTCCAAACCTCGTAGGATAATTCCCTTGTCTCGTCCTCTCTCCAAAATGCAGCAGGCACAGTGTGGTGCACCGGTACGGCCGTTAGGGAGAGAACAACAGCCATCTGAGGTTCGACCGGGTATAGGGTAGCGGCCCTAAACCCTAAACCCTAAACCCCTAAACCCTAAACCCCTAAACCCTAAACCCTAAACCCCTAAACCCTAAACCCCTAAACCCCAAACCCTAAACCCCTAAACGCTAAACCCTAAACTGTTTAGGCTGAGGATGTTCGGGCTTCCGACGTCTCAGGTGTGATGTGTTTTTTGGGCTGAGGACGTTTGGGAATACATGTTTAGAGCTCATTTGTGGTTTGGGTGTTGCGGAGGCGGTTCAGCAAGACCCACAGCTTGATGGCGAACATACAATCATTTACCAATATTATTCCCAGAATTCCCGATAAAAAATATAGTACAATTTACCCCAAGGCTTATTCAAATTATTGAGGCCCCTGTATTAGCTCGTGCTTTCCTTGGCTGCCGGCTTCAAGGATTTGTACTGATCAGCCTTGCTTATTGTTGTTACATCTTTCTTCTTATTGTTGTTAGTCTTATGCTGATTCTTATGAACATTGTCACTGTTATTGCAGTTATTACCACCGTGATACTTACAACTGCACATGCCGTGGCGATTGTCGCTCGCCAAGCCTAGCTAGAGTTTTGAATCTACGATGAGCCGCCAGACGCAGGTGTTGCTTCTTGGTGGGTGCAATGCAGAAGCAATAATCGCCACACAGCCCGCCGAACACAAGCACCGTAAACCTAAACCAGATCCTTAAACTGACTAGTGTTGCAAGGTATTGGTGTTGTTGTGAGTATGATGTCTGCGGTGGCTACAAATACGGACATGCGTTGCCAAACGCCCAAACTCTGAACACCAAACTCAAACACCCCAACGTGACTTCGTTTCCCAGGAGTGTGCACAAGGAAGCTGCGTCGGAGCTTGTTGTGACTGTGCTTGCGCATAGAGGAGCTTATTCAGTTTAGGAGAGCAAATTGCATGCCAGCGCATTTATGATAGCGACAGCACGCATACTCATAGAGCAGCTGCTACTGCTCCTACTACATCAGCAACCGTCATGATGCCAGCAATTAGATGATAGTAGGCATACTAGTAACCATACTCACAACAATCACGAATTCTATTTTGCCATGAGCAACTCTACTGTCATCACCATCATTCCTATCATCCCCACCATCACCATCATCATCATCATCATTTTCCTCATCACCAACGTCAGGACATAACATCAGCATCATCGTCATTATCATCTCTAGTATTCTGACCATCATCAGCACCATCATCTCCATTATCATCATCTCCATTATCATCATCAGCATCATCATCATCAGCAGCACCATCATCTTCATCATCGGCATTGTAGTCATGCCAATCATGGTAGTAGGTGCCCTGTACTTGCAATCTCCTCGATGCCCACGGAGCCTGTTCGGATGGCTTGCTCCCTGCCTTTAACCGTAAACTCACCGCCCCAGCTCATTGAAAGAAGCAGTCGTTTGTTAGAGAAGGCGATGGTGGCAAGAGACGATCCTGTAAAAACCAGAGAGGCCCGGATCCGTTTTGCCCCAAACTCAGGTGTATGCCAGGGTCTTTGTGAACAAGCTGAATGATGTTGATGAAGAGAAGGCCGGACTTGAGTCTGCAGAACATTGTGCTGCTACTTTTTATGTGCATGCACATAGGAAGTAGCAGCACAATGTCCAGACTTGAGGCTGCAAAAAGTCTTTTGTTGAGGTGTAAAGCTTTGGCAGCGTGTGCTTTGGACAAAGGGTTTGGGAGTTCTGTGGGATGTAAGAGGCGTACAAACACCTTAAAGACCTAATTCATATGACCCTCTCCGAAGCTGCCTGGCTTGCCAACAGGACTTGACGGATTTGCACATGCACGTGGACTACAATCGGCAACTTTTCCGATCGAAGGGCCCTTAGGCCATGGACTTCGAAGCGGATCCAGACAGGTACTCTGCCTTTTCCAACCGTAGCTATGACCTGAGTGCCAGGTACCTGAAGCGTCAGAGAGCACCACATCCACGAACCGAACCGCGTAGGCAAGCCAAGAAACCGAAGCCCAAACTCTGAGTTTAGATCTTGCGAACACACCTTGAGCGGATTCCTTAAACCTGCAAGCTTTGTGAGACCAAAACGAATGAGCGTGTATTGGCCTGAATTTCGGATACCGCTTCGGATGGCCTTATGCTCAGACCGGCATGAGGACAATGCTTTGTTCGTTTGGCCCTGTGGCCGCCTGTGGCCCTTGCTGAACAATTGGACGAAGCTTGTCAGAGTGTGGCTACTCATACTCGTGGCAGCCGCCGTAGTCATCATCGCACTCAGAACAAAACACCAATAGAGCAAACTTGATCAAGCTTGGCTAGCAAGCCAGACATGGGTTGCATGAGGATCAACTTGTACCACTAGAGGGACCGCACAGTACCTGTTGTTCAAACACAGCCTGAGCAGCAATGCTTGCAGCAGTGCTTGGAATTTGCCTTGGAACCTGATACCACCACCACGGCCAGCAGCACCACCAGCAGCACTACCAGCGGCACCACCAGCAGCACCATCGGTGCAGCACCAGCACTGGCACAGAAGCACCAGCCCCAGTGCCAGGACCAGCGCCATCGCCAGCACCCGTGGCCGCACCCGCACCCGTGGCAGCGCACCGGCACCGGCAACGACGACCAGAACGACCGCGACGACCACGACGACGACGTAGCAGTAGCAGTAGAAGTAGCAGTAGTCATCGACGTCGTCGTCCTCGTCGTAGTAGGTAGTAGTCGTAGTAGCATTAGTAGTAGTAGTAGTAGTAGTAGTAGCAGCAGCAGGAGTAGTAGTAGTAGTAGTAGTAGTAGTAGTAGTAGTAGTAGTAGCAGTAGTAGTAGTAGTAGCAGCAGCAGCAGGAGTAGTAGTAGTAGTAGTAGTAGTAGTAGTAGTAGTAGTAGTAGTAGTAGTAGTAGTAGTAGTAGTAGTAGTAGTAGGAGTAGCAGTAGCAGTAGTAGTAGCAGTAGCAGTAGCAGTAGCAGTAGCAGTAGCAGTAGCAGTAGCAGAGCAGTAGCAGTAGCAGTAGCAGTAGCAGTAGCAGTAGTCGTAGTCGTAGTCGTAGCAGCAGTAGTAGTAGCAGCAGCAGCAGTAGCAGGAGTTGGAGTACTGAGTACAGTAGGAGTGGGAGTAGGAGTGGGAGCAGGAGTGGGGGTAGGGGTAGGAGCAGGAGTAGCAGTAGAAGTAGGGTAGGAGTAGTAGTAGTCGTCGTCGTAGTCCTAGTCGCAGTAGCGGTCTGAAGTGTAGTAGTCGTCGTGGTGTCGTTAGTACCTCGCTTTTGTGCTTCAGTTGTGGGAGGAGCAGGATCACGATTCCTCATAGTATCAGTGATTGGTTATGATCATCAAGATCGTTCCTGTCCTTTATGACCATGGTTGCTACGATGTCTTGTAAGACCCTCCCTCGGCCGCTAGGATGGCCGAAGGTCCAGGGTAGAGATTGCTGTCGGAGTCCGTCAGAACGAGGGCAGCGTAGGAATTATGGCCCAGAGTTCTCGACTATCGATCCAACAGTTAAGAGTCAACATCAATAGGCCCACCGGCAACATGTCCTGATGCACTCCGACATGATCATCTGGGCACCTGAAATGCCTCGGATGTACTTTTTGCGTGGTATCGGCTTGGCTGGAATTCATGGGACCGTGATTTTCCGCTCCTTGTCCGAACAGGGGACACCAAGGAGTAGACCACTGGTGCAGCCCCAGGCTTTGAGGCTTCCGTAGCCTTCGTCCTCCGGATCGATTTTCAAGTTCACGACAACAGATTTAGTTTTAAGGTTGGTGGTGGTGCTGGTGGTAGTCTAGTCGTAGTAGTAGTAGTAGTAGTAGTAGTAGTAGTAGTAGTAGTAGTCGTGGTGGTGGTGGTGGTGGTGGTGGTGGTGGTGTAGTAGTAGTAGTGGTGGAACATCAACCTCAAAGCTTGTGCGTCGAGTTCTCGTCTGCCAGAGTTTTTGAACAGCCCCTGTAGATTCAGCAGCTTGCCGCTGGCGCGGGTGGTCGCCTGGATTAAACTCAGAGACTCCAATTCAATATCCCTCAATTAAGGAATGTACCTTAAATGATAGTAGGATCCCTAATATGATTCTTTCCTTAGTTAAGGGATAATATTGGAATCTCTGGGAACCCAGTCCCCCAACTCTCCCCCCCGCAACCCCCTTTCTCCTCGGTTTGAGATGGGGGCTTGGGTAGCCCTAGAGGAAGTGAGATCAGGGTTTGGGCGTCGAGGCCTGCTGAATCTACAAGCTTACGTCACAATCTCTTTCGTGAATTGTGTTTAAAGTCGTCTTGCAGGGAGAAACGTCACTCCTCAGCATGACTGGTGACAGATCTTTAGATCAGTCCCATTGTTGCTGTCCCGGGTTCAGGGTTTAGTGTTTTGCTTCTGCTTCCGAGCCTCCTCCTCCTCGCCCTTCTCCTCCTAATCTGCTCCTCTTTTTCTGTGGTTTCATTCGATTTGTGTTGTGATCATTGCCCCCGGTGTCATAACTCCTAGTGATACTTGATGTTCCTTAGTGCGATTATTCTTGCTACCTTGTTGTCACTGTCACTAATGACATCCGCTTTGGTATCACTCGCATTCTCCGCCTCATTACCAGCCTCAGCCAGAAGTCAAGGCGGGCACCATTATCCTTCTTGACAATTTGGGGGTTCTAATCTACCAAGCTGTTGGTTTTTGCTAGCGGATGACATCTTTCTGTGACTGATTGGTGACTGATTTCTCAATTAATGAACTGGGTCACTGGTGGATAGTTTTATTTGTCGGTGTTTCGGCTGCAAATGTTCTTTGCACTGATGATGTTTTTTCGGCACTTGCTAAATAAGCCGCCCCCTGAGTAGGGCTTACGGGCCTTGAGGGAAGGAATTGATGATTCAAGGGCTTTTGGCATATGAGTGGTTGTCAATTTCTGGGTGCCCTAAATATTCGGTGCCGTGTCATTAATGACCCCAAAAGGGATAATACATTTGACGACCACCTATATGGGTGGTTGTCAAAATTAGGGTCCCTTGTGGGCTCCCTATTATAATACGGCACCTATTATTTAGGGTACCCAAAGAACAGACCTTGAGTTTGAGAACTACCGATATGAGCAGGCGAAAGCGTAAACCCTAAGCTCCAAACCACGCCCACCAACCCGGGCTCCTGGACAGGTTTAGGGTTTAGGGTTTAGCGGTTTGGGTTTAGGGTTTAGGGTTTAAGGGTTTGGGTAGGGTTTAGGGCTTTGGGTTTAGGGTTTAGGGCTTTGGGTTTAGGGTTTAGGGTTTAGGGTTTGACACTCTGCAAGACGAGAGAATCCGGCGTTCAATTCTCCCTGATGTAATTGGAGGATCTTGGGACGTAGTAAGAAAGATTGGAAGTACCTTGATTCGGGTTAAGTTACGTCACTATAAGTACAGTTACCCTAAACCCTAAACCATGATCCTGGTTGCTACATCCCATGCTCCTCTAAGTAAAGCCTTTTTCTGCTAGAGGCTCCAATATCCCTTAATTAAGGAATATACCTTAAAATATACTAGGGATCCTACTATAACTTAAGGTATATTCCTCAATAAGGGATATCGGAGTCCCCGAAACCCTAAACTCTAAACTCCATAGATCCCTCTTTGATCCCTTAAAGGAACCCTAACCTAGGCATTCCTTGCTTAAGGGATATTGGAGTCTCTGGGTCTTACTTGGAGGGTCGGGGGACTTAGTAAGTAGGTAGTAAGTAGACTTATAAGTATCCGAAAAGGGATAAGTAGCCAGTTACTAAGTCCCGTAAACCCTAAACCCTTATAGAATCCCTACAGATCCCTTTAAAGGGGCCCTTAAGGAACCCCTTAGAGTTACTAAGTCCCCCGACCCTCCAAGTAGAGAAGAGAGGCATCCCTCATGTTCTGCTTCACTGTGCCACGCAGCAACTCGTGGATTTCTTGGGCTCTTGTTGAGGAACTTAAGTTAAGGCTTAGGGTTTAGGGTTAAGGGTTCAAGGTTTAGGTTTAAGGTTTAGGGTTTAGGGTTAAGGGTTTAGGGTTTAGGGTTTAGAGTCTTAGATTTTGGGGGCCTGTGGTAAATTAGTATGGTTTCCTTATCACGGTAAACTCAAGTTATACTCCTTAGCAAGAACCCAGGTTCTCTGGGAGGCGCGGTTTGCGGGGCAATGGGTCAGGCCTCTGTAGAGTAGAAGCCTAATAGTTGGAGACCCCATAGCCTCGATCCTTAAGAGTAGTGTATAGGGAATCCCAGCACTATTTGGCCTCAATCCGGGTTTCTAACTTTATGGGGTTTACTATAACCATTAGCATATGGTTCCGGGGTATATTCCTGCTATAGTTGTAGTCAATAAGGAACCCCCTAAACCCTAAACCGTAGTTTACTATAGAGGAGAGCGGGTTGGAGCCTGAAGCCTTGGGCACTGCACTTGGAACCCTTGACACACCGAAGTCCTAATATAGAAGCCTTGATAATTACCAATACTATTTTGGAGGTTCCTTAATATAATGAGAAAGTAATGGGCCCAATGGTAAGCGCTTTAAACCCACCGAAATCTTTCTTTGCTTGTTTGATTGCCTTGCCATGGCCCGGTCCGTTTTGAGGAGTTTTGTGGAGCAGTCTCCTCTTAGACTCGTGGTTGGCCACGGCCCCGGACCCCCAGTTGGTGTTTCCCCGAATTCCTGCGTGGAATGCGGCACTGGTATCGGCGAAAGAACGTTGCAAATTTTGGGAGTCAGTGAGTGCGGGCACTAGGAAGATGTCGTTGGGATCAGCTTCTTGGGTCCCAGTCATGCTCTATTTGATGCAGCTTCCAGCGCCTCCCTGGACCCTATATAAACCCTCTCCACAGTTCGACGGTGTACCCATTAAACTTGCTTCCGACAATGTGCCGTTCTGACCGGAACACCTGCAGGGGTTTCT